TTGTTTGTTTGTTTGTTTGTTTGTTTTGTGTGTGCCAGATGGCAATACATAAACTTCTCTAGAGGAAAAAGAAAATTAAAAATGTTTCAGCAAACAGAAAGTATAACAAAGCACCCGGGAGCTACTGCTCAAGTTGCTGCGGTTGTTTCTGAGCCACAGCATCCACAAAGAAAATCCTGCTGGTGAGTATAAATAACAGCGGACGTGTTGAGTTTAAAAAACACCGGAGATGAAAAGCGGCGCTGTGATGTTTCCTGCTCTGTGGGTCAACAACAGCAGCGACTGTCAACTGAAGCAACAGCGTGCGAAAAACCCTCACATTATCCCAACTCAGGTGTAAAACAAATGCCATTTTTCTGCGCTAACAATCGCTGCGGCATTAACATAACAGAGAGGCATCGCAAACAAACAAACAAGCAGCTTTGGTAGCAGCATGAATATAGACACGCAGGCTGAGAGGGCGCGATCACATCTACATGAAAATACTTCACAACGCTTTGAAGTGACAAAGCAGAACATCCGAGCAAGCCAAAGGCCATCTGCTGCATGAGTGCAGATGAGTGTGTGCCTGCGTGTGTGGAGGTGTGTCTGAGTGTGTGAAAAAAAGCGTTAATACAACATTTATGTGCAAATGTTCACATTTATTTCTTTTTGTGCACGGATGCATGAGAACAGTGGAGCAGTGCATGTGGCTACATCAAAGAACTGACCCCCAAAACTTTGACCCTCCTTAAAAAAGTTATGCTCAAACAGAGCCTCAGGGGAAATAAAGTTTAAAGTGGCAGAAAAGAACGGACAACAGAACCTAGGGCTTCAGAGTTAACCGGCATTTAATTTCCTCTGACCAACAAAAAGTGGGTTGGCAGCAGGGTATATATTATTTTTCCAAGCTTTGGGCTTGTGTGCAAACTTTCTTCAAGACTGAGGAAAGAAGAAGAGTCAGAAAAAAGTTAAACAGGGACGAAAGTGATGCAAATGTTTTTGATATAAAATCCTCTCCTAAGAGATATTAAAATAATGTAAAGTGATTATCAATTCAAAAGAAATTTGTATAGAAAAAAGGGCAAAAGTTATTTATACCTTTTTCAACAACCATTGCAAATGTATTTTTTGGTATGACAGCAATCAACTTTTTTTATGTTTCTATTGACATTTTGACAATTTATTTTTGGTAAGGAGCTCCAAGCCTCACTGCCATCACCTTAAAGTTTAGGTCCCTGCACAGATTTACTGTCAAATTTAAGAATAGGATAAAAAAAAGACATTTAAACAGAACCTGTCTGATAACACAAAGTGGGCTAAAAGATCGCAAAAACTAACATTTCATGTCCAAACAAGACCATACAAAACAGGACGGTGTCTTAAGCACTGCAGACTTCACTTGCCTGAGGTCTGTTCTCATAATTCAACAATAGGAAAGAGATCCTGAGCAAAAATATAATTCATGGAAGAGTTTCAAGGCCAAAACCACACGAGAGATTGTCTCACCTTTGCCAAAAAACATCTTAATGATTGCTGATTTGCTACTCTTGCTGACATGACATGGACATCTGGGAGAGAGTCTTAGTACATCATTTATGTGGAAAGACGAGATTTTTCTAGAGAAAACCCACTTTGTGGCTGTCTGTTCTGTCTGCTTTATTTCTGCCACCTTGAAGAAAAAGAGACCATGTTTTTCCAAATTCCAATACAGAGGAAAATTCACCAAAACATCCTCCTGTGTTGCTCATCAGGCCAAGCAGAGCCCACAGCTCGAACACCTGCACTGTAAAAAGAGATGACGCTGTGGCTGGCTCTCTTTGGAATGACCCCTGGGATGTAATGAAAGAACGCCGTGCCAACATTTTCCCAGGCTTGAAAGAGAGAAACAGTAGGAGGAACAAACTGAGGTAATTTTCAAGGAAAAAACACATTTTGTCAAACAAAACAAGCTGCAGGAAAACCAGAATGCAAAAATAAAAAAGTGTGGAGGACACCAGTCATCATATTGGCACTGCTAGAGCAACAAGAGGTGGACTCCCACATGCAGCATTTCTGCAGCTATGCTATATTAACAACGGAGTCTGGTGTGTCAATGTCATGCTGCAATGAATTGTCTTGGATGTCAAAGTTCAGATCTGGGAGTGATCTGAACTCCCAGATCACTAATTTCTGGTTTTTCAACCAGAAATTAGTGATTTCTAGTTGAATGTCAGAAAATAGAAGGGATTTACTCACATTTGTGGTGCTAACTGTTCTTAGCAGCCCTTGACAAACATCTTATTTCTCTCCTTTACATGTATTAAAACCAGAACGGTCTCCTCTCTGTCGTTTGCAATGGGATTCAGAGCCTTGTTTCAAAGTACAAGGACAACAGTGTGCACAGCACTGGTTTAATGTCTCATTATTATTCAATGTTTTATCAAGCTGAAAATCACACTAAAATTTAACTCAGCTTCAGGGGTCGCTCTATTTTTTTTATTTATTTATCTTGCTTTTTCTTATTTCTGACTTATCAAAGAGACGTTTCAGGACTTACAAATACAAGTCAAGTGCACCATCAATTCACACTGGGAACCAGTCTATTGAGATCAGGCTACTCTGTGGGAATCAGGGCAAACCTCATTCCTCCAATCAACAGGGAAGAAGAAAATTGATCCCAAATTCCAGATGTTCTTTCTCAATGACCTAAATAATAAGAGCTGCTTGAGAGAGAGAATCTCAACATCACTCTAATTGTCTTCATTTAACCTTTCAGATAATTCTATATAGTTATTTTTGTCCTTTTTTGGACTATTTGTTCAATTGCATAAAAGTGACCACTGTAACAGGTGCAGTAAACCTTCATTGGCCAAATTTTCCAGGTATATTGAGCATATTGTCTAGTGTTCATTGTAGCATGAAACATTGCTCACTTCTTCTTTACACTTTGTTGCGAGTCACTGAAAAACAACATGAACAGCTTTCAAAAATGGTCAAAAGATATACATGTTGCAAGAAAGTATACACTGGCAACATTGAAAATGCCATCATGAAAGACACTGAATGATGCTGCAGAGACGCTAAAACAATGATGCTCCTGCCACTGGAGTCCAACAGAACATTTGAGAAGTTTGTATTTTTTTAAAGCATCCCTTAAAGCATTGCTGAGACGAACAGCAAAGATACACAGCCCAAAAAACAAAATGCCTTCAGCAACCGTTGTCACTGTCACTCTTAAAACACTGGAGAGAAAAATGGAAAAGCAAAGTGTGCATTCCACATACTTCGTGTCTAGTTTGGCACATAAACAAGTTTTTATTTTTCAGTCACAAAAGGATAAAATGGTCCTCACAAAAATAGGTGCACAAATATTCAAATGAGTGAAGTACATCAGGGACAGCTGTGTTTGTGTGTGTATGCGTGTGTGTGTGTGCACACACACACGCATACACAGTGATTATTTATGTGTTTGTTTTTTTATTTATGCGTTTGTGGTGAGTGTGTCTTCCAGGGGGTACACTGGCCTCGTTAATACTATCACGCTTTATCCCCAAATACTTGTTACTATGGAAACAACCACTTTGCTGTGTGCATGTGTGTGTGTAATTGTAAATGATCTGAACACTGCTGTTGTGTGTGTACATGTGTAAAAGTGATTGTTCCCCTTGTTTGTGTGTGTCAGAGCGCTCTGCTTGCTGAAAAAAACAATATGTTGACATTCATTACTGTCCCATTAGAGGCAGAGCTGGAAAAGGAGGAATGTTTTCAGAACAAAACCATCTACTGCCTAGAGAAATGCTTAATCTACTGCTCACATTCATTTTAAATTTGAGTTAGCTATTTACATTCTTCAAGACCAAATTTAAGCATTTTTTAATCAACTTGAATATTATTTCAATGCCTTACTTGCTGTCTGTTACCAGAGGGAACATGTCCAGCAGCAGAAAGGAGTGATAGTTTGGTGTGATGCACTCTGGGAGTTTTATAATCTGTCTATTTTTATGTCCTTCAATTGTAGTCTGAGTTTTTGTGAGAATATTAACTTTTTTGAACATTTTGTTCATATAGCCTTAAAATAAAAATGCAATGAAAGACGTAGTTGAATTACGACAGTCATATCGTAAAAAAGGATAAAAATTAAAGTGTTAATCTATAGGACAACAACTTAAAATGTAGTAGGGTGCACAGAGGTGCAGCAAAATGTAAATTATTTGACTAATATGTAATGTTTGTTGCTTGTTTTCTGTTTTGAATATAATTGGTTATTGTGTTACATTTTTTTCATGTAAAATTCAACCACCTTGTTGCTGAAATGTTCTACGCAGTGCGGGGCACACTTTCACCTCTGCATAGCATCTTCATTAGCACTCCAAATTTAAATGATGTAGAACAACATCAGACAAAAATCTTGATCTGGATCTTCTGTTTCAGCAGAAGTTCAACTTGACAAAAGCTCTGTTGCTTTTATCTCACCTTTTTGGTTGTCTAGCTGGAAGTTGCTGTCCTCATTGCCACCTGTGATGGCGTAAGAGACGCCGTCCCCATCAGGGTCATTGGCGTGAACAATGGCGACCAGCGTGTCGGGACCAGCATCCTCACTGAGGAAGGTTTTATAGCTGCAAGAAAGAGGGAAACAACCTTTAACTGTGCTGGAGGACATTGGGAAAGGTAGGATGTGATGTTGCATAAAGTAACAAAGTAAGAAGTGCAAGGAAAAATGTACTACACATAGTAGTGTGAAGGAAAGAGCCTGGATTGATTGAAGTGAAGATGAAACAGAAAGAGATGGAGGAAGCAGAAATAAAAATAAACTCTGACTTAAAAAACACCTCAATTAGCAGATTGTCTCTGTGGAGTAAAAACAAGAGAGATGCTGACATCTGACTTCTTTACTATTAAGTAAAGTAAAATCCACACTGAGATGATCAGATACTAACAGACGGAGGTTCTTACACGCTTTGGGAGAAGACCGGCACCTCATCGTTGGTGTTAGCCACACGGACACGAACAGAGGCTGTCCCAGTTCGAGGAGGCGTCCCTGCATCCACTGCGACAACTACAAACTCGTAGATGTGATTGGGCCGCTCATAGTCCAGGCGACGGGCAGGGCTGACCACACCCCCGGATGTGATGTCAAAATCGCCACTCGGGATGAAGTAGGAGATCTCGGAGTTCACACCGGAATCACAGTCGCGAGCCAGAACTGATGGGAATAAAAAGAGGAAATGTGGTGAAAAACATCTAAAAGAAGAAATAGTTGAGGACAGGAGAAGAAAAAAACTGAAAGACGTTAAAGGAGGAAGACAAATGAGGTGGAAAGGAGAAAGATGAGGGAATTAAAAGGGAATGAATGTGGATTTATGTTAGCAAAAGGAGAGGAAAAAGAAAAGAAGGTGGATGAACGAGATAGAAGAAAACAAGTAGAAAGCCACTCAAAAGAGAAGAGGAACCTGTAAACAAGAGATTTGGATATGTGAGGGGATGAAAAGGAAAAAAAAAAACTGAGAAGATCCCAAGAAAAAAGAACGATGGAAACACAGCAAAAGGAAAACAACAATGGACCGAGAGTGAAAGAATGTAAGGAATCAGGAGGAAAAACCTATAAATGTGGACACACAAAAGAAAAAAAACAACAGGATTAAGGGAAATAACTGGTCTCATCATGATGCATGGTGTTAAAACTTCAGCAGACTCATCAGTTTGTGTTACCTTGCAGTAGTGAGGTTCCAGGTGCGACGCTCTCAGGTATGTTATCTCTGGTGTAGATGGAGTGAAGAAACTCTGGTGTGCAATCGTTCTCATCCGTTATGTGGACAATGACCTGGAGGAAAAAGCTCATTTAGTTTTAGTGTTTCTCATGCAAATAGATGCTCATCTCTGTATGGATCCACAGATCAATCAGAAAAATACAGGTAACGTCTGCACCGGGGTGGAAATCTGAGCCGATATTGATATTAATTAAACTGCCTCGGCCAATAACCAATATTACATATAATTTACTGCCCTTTTGGCACTGTGATAACATATAATATAAGCCCAGTTTTCCTTATTGTAATGACACCAATGTGCCGTTTCTGATCATAATCCAGATATATTGTTAATCCCTAGTTATTTCTGTCTGTGAAGTATTTTTCTATAATTGTATGGATCTTCATAGTAACACCATGAACTAGAGGATCAGTCAGAAGCAAAGCTAGAACCACTCATCTTTCTCTGTCATCCATATGGAGAAAGGTTTGTGTGTGTGTTGTGATCAGGCCATGAAATAAAATAGTTTTAAATCAAACAGAACCACAAAAACATCACAAATTCAAAATTCTGCTTTAGGTGTCTGTTAATCCATCTGGGATGTGGTAAATGACAAATATGATTTTCTCACTACCTTCTATAGTGATATCAGGGTGTTTGTTTGATGTTCTAGTGTTAAAAACTGCAGATACAGATGCCACTGTAAAGCTGTATATCTGATGCTTAAGGAGAAACTAATTCATGACCATTTGTCTGTCCGTGCTTTAAGCCCTTAAATCTCAATCCTCTCTGTGTCTTTATCTCACCTTTGTTCCTGTTCCCCCATCCAACATGCCAGAACTGAAGCATAATAGTTTGTTTTTATTCTCATAAAAGCTGAATTAACTGGTGAGGCTGCTGATGTGACCACCTGAGCACAGATTTCCTCTGCAGTCCTGAACCTCAAACACACCACCTGTTTAGTCTGGGCAGCAGGGCAGCAATGGTGAGGCTGAGAGGATTTAGATGTGTGGCTGCCTCTGCAAGTATGCACAGAGCATATAGAAAACAAACTAGTGTAAACAAGGACAAAATGTATTCTTTTCATTTTAAAGCCATTTAATTTAGGATTTTTCCAGAAAAGAACATTTCTGCTTTAAAAGATTAATTTGAAGGAGAAAAGAAAACAAACGGCTTTATTCTGTTTACTTTGTAGGTAAAATGTGAAGCACAAATCACCCTGAGTGATGTGGAACAGTCAGTAATCACCTGTCAATAGTAATTACCTGAAGCATAATTAAACCCTTGTGTTATCTGCAGGAGATGTTTTGTGATTTCTTTCTAAAGAGAAGGAAAATGGTAACAATTTTTGACTTTGTAAAAGAAATATGTTCCCATTAGGAACAAAATATTTGTTTTCCGTAGGAACTTGAATGAAGGACATTAGATCTCACCACTATTTCTGTAACTGTAAGAACTGGATTTTTAAAAGCTCTCAAGTGGAAATTGTACTCTTTAAATTGTTAAAGAAATACTGTCATCATAAAACACGAGTAGCTGACAAATTTTACCATACAATTATTAAATTATGTGGTGCAAATCATAAAGAGCAACTTTTGGCTTCTGATGCTCGGTGTGAACACAAGTCCAATGAGTGATGAGTGGAAAGTCCTTCTGTCTTCGGTTGCTAAGATTTAAGCATAACGTGTATAAATTTTGTCTGGATTTTGACAGACTAATGAACAATGACAGCTACTATTTCTAAATATGAAACTTAAAACTTCAATCAGCCTGTAATATCGAACAAAAACTCCAAACTGAAAAAAAGTCCTTGCACTAATTTCAGTATGAGTTTATGGAGCAAAAAGCCATGCATCCACTGCATGTTAATATGCATTAGCGGGAAGGTGTAGATCTTTGCTTCATATAATTTGCATAGCTTACCAAAAGATGAAAAGGTAGTTTGTAGTTGTGCTTGTAGACAGGATGTTTAGTTTTTTTGCATACAGCGTTGAAATTGAGGGTTTTCATAAAAAAAGCTTAATCTGCTGTTTCTAATTTAAGTATGCGTAACGTATGCTCAGTAAGTTATAAATTTCAACGGTTGCATCATTGCATCTGATTCAGAAATGAACGTGTTTTCATCAGAGAGCAGCTTGAGAGCAGTTAGGCGTCAGCACGTTCAGATGCTTTTTTAAAAGTGAGAGTTGATAAGTTGTGATGGTAGTGAATTTTTATTTATATAGCACACCAGCTAAAAGACCGTCGAGTTTAAACAGTTCTGTCAAACCTTAACCAGTTGGCTGTTGTTATGTGAACCTCTCTTTTTATTGGCTTGGTATTCACTGTTTACAACATAGATTAGAAAGTAGAAAAAGCAAGACAATATTCTTCAATGTTAACTTAAAATATTAGTTGGTAACTTATTGAATCAATAGCTTTTTGTGTCTAATTAATTGTGATACTGTTTAGTTGTCAAGCATTGAAATGAATGCGCTTTGGCAAAGTGTGCCGGGACACTGCGTTCACAGAATAACACTTCACAGTGACTGTCATCACAGGTCAGTAAACTGTGACCTTGTTCACGCCTGACGTTGTTGAGCCTCTGGGGTGATTTGATCACAGGCTCAGCCTCAGCTACAGGTGTGAATGCATACGCAACACACAGAGGTCATGGCGACATCTGAGTCCCTGGATAACATTCACATTTTGTCCTGAGCTGCAAAATGACCAGATCGCTTAACAAGGTGAACACCACTGGTCTTCAGGTCACAGTGAGGAATCACTGGGAAAGTTACTCACCACGTTGGGTAGTGAAAACAAGTAGTTTCCATCTGGAACATGATGCAAGTTTAAAAATAAAATGTGTCGGACATTTGAATGTGTTTGCTTTTGAAGAATATTCAAAAGCTTTTGCAGAAAAATGAAAAAGGTGGTGCATATGTTGGCCTCAAAACAAAGATAATATTGTTTATTGCGATAACTTCTGGGACAATTTACATTACAGTAAGATTTGTTATAGTAAGACTAGTTATGAACCATTACATGTGTTGTGTTATATATATTGACAGGCTCATCATGAGAAAGATAATAAAAGCAGCTGTGTGTGCCACTGTAGAGTCAAATGTTTTTTTCATTGTTTTTACTGGATTAAAGTACGTATCGGTGCATTTACACCTGACAGAAATGGAAAACATGATTCCCTGAAAGTCATTACAGGAACTACTGATTGCCACATTTAACACAGATTTCACAATTATGACAAAGTGTTGAATGCATTACTTCTATCAACAATTTGAGGCGTGTAATTCAAAGAACACAAGGAAAATTACAACCTTATAATTATGTTCTGGGAGAGTTGACAATGAAAATAATCTTCCTTCAGATTAAAAACATTTCTGATCCAAAGTCCTTTTGAGCTCAGATATTTTTTAGCCAAAAAAGCTTGTCTACAATATAAAAGTTTAGATAAAAATACACTTTTTTTCATGAGTAGACTGGAATATTTTCATCACATCCCTGGCTTCTCAAGGTATTCATGGCATAATTAATGCTCAATTTATTCAGATTTAGCTCTGCTGAAGTTGTTGGGATGTTTCTTACTGAAGCAGTACAAACAGGACTCAGTAAATCTGATGGCATTGATGCGTACCTCTGCAACGCCGCTGAGGCCGGTGTCGCTTTCAGAGGCTCGGACCTGCAGGGTGTGCAGGTTGTGACCGCTCTCGTAGTCGACCGATCGGGTGAGGCTCAGAGCGCCGCTTTCCTGGTTGATGCTGAACAGGTTTCCGGGGTTAATCAGTAACATGTAGGACAGACTCTTCTTCTGGAAGGAGACAGCCTGAACCACAGCAACCCTGACCACAAACACACACAGAAAGGTTCGAGATGAGCCAGAAAAATTATAATTATAACCTACATGTGGTTCACATTTTATTTCTGTGAACCACATGTAGGCTGGTTCTGCTGGAGCTCTCTGAGATTACACCGAGATGAGCGTCAGTCTTTCCCTCTTTATGAAAACATATTTTCCCTGTCTAATTCATAGTAAAATATATAATGTTGAATTTGATAAACAACATAAGATCTTCTAGCTCCAGTCTACTCTACATCCCCAGAACCAGAAGCAAACCTGAAGAAGCAGCATCAGGTTTTTATGTTTTGTGCTTAATGTTTTCTTTATGCAACATTGTTGAAATTTATTTGCAAAACAAATAAACTTGCATTGCCATACTCTCACTGCAAAGCCCAAGAAAACATAGAGAATTAGACTTTATTCTTTTGAGTTTCTGTAGAAATGTTGTTGCGTACCTAATTTAACAAACTTTGACTCAGGTCATTTTAATGACAATGAGAAAGTCCAACATTAAAACGTGTTAATGTGTTACCTCTGTACCTCATATGTGAGTAAACGATAATGTTGCTGTGTTTGTTCATTTATTTCATCTTGTATGCAGGGTAAACATGAGCACAGGTCAGAGGAAAGCTGCTCTTCATGTACGACTCCAAACAGACTTGGTGACACGCTGGTGCTGCTCTTAAACTCTGCAGTCTTCATGGATTATTCTGAGCTCTAAGGTGCCATGCTCAGACCTGGTTAATCAATTTGATTAAAAGAGAAACACGTACACACAGACACACGCAAGGGCATGCAAAACATATATAATGGAAGGCTGAGACACAGAAAAAACCCATACTGAGCTACACCCACACAGCGCTCAGAGGGTGGCATGGATACTTGGATATTAATACAATGTGCTTTGCGCCAGCAGCCCTGGGGGATTCAACACACTCACACACTCCCCTTCATGTTTATCCAGACCTCACTTTTAATAAATATTTGAATTTGCCACACTTTCAAATTCTCAGCCTCAGGCCACACTCATACATCTGGGCCCTCTTCCTCCATCCCACCCCCTTCCTTCTCCTCCTCTTCATCCCTCTGTCTCCCATCCTCTTCTTCTCTTCTATTTTCTCTCTTCTGTTTGTCTACCTCTTCCTTCCTCTTCCTCTTTTCTTTTGTCTCGCTCTTCGGGGCTCATCTTTTCATGCATCACATGACATGCAAAGCACAACAACGAGCACACACACGAGAAAAAACCTCACAGAGGCAGACTCGCAAAATCCATTCATTTTTTATGGCATTGGAATGTAAATGATGGGATTGCAGATGTGGAAGGTAAAACATAAATTTGGGTTAATAACCTTTTCATGGCTCTATAATTTAGCGTTTATTGATATCATGCCAGTATAGCGTTGTGCACAGTGGCTTGCATGCAGTATATACCCACTGAATGCAGTATAAACTCTGAACAATAGTTCTCCATACCATAACAAGACATTTTTACTTATTTATATTTGTTTATTAGCACCTTTAAAAATATGCAACAAGCCCCTAGAATGTTTGTAATCTCTTCACATAATACCTCAAAACCAGTGAGAAGCCCCTGTGAATATCTTTGAATTTAGACATGGACTTTGACTAGGCCACAGATGAATATAGTAGCTCTGACTGAATGTTCTTCTTTCCACTCTTTCATAATTATCAAATTTGAGATTAGAAAGTGTCCGTACTGGCTGCTTCTCTGATTGATGATCTCCTTGCCTGTCTTGTAGGTTTAGGTGGACGGCCATGTCTCGGGTAACTTCCAAAGCCAGTTGGTTGAACCGGATTTTATTTAGGGGTGTTGAAGAAAAGGGGCGTGAAAATATATGAACCCCAAACTTACATGTCTCATTTTTCTTCCCCTTAACAATATAGATCGCGTTAAGTTAATAGTATAGCACATTTTAGCAACAATGCAGTTCATAGTGTCTGACATCAAAACAACATTGTACAAGCAAGCAATAAATATTACATTTTGTCAAATACCATCATCAAAATCATCAAGCAGGTACACTTCAAATGTTTTGATCAATGTTTCATTTATTATGAATCAAGGGCAACTCTAAGCAGTTGGGTTTTCAGCTGTGATTTAAAGGAACTCAGTGTTTCGGCTGTTTTGCAGTTTTTTGGAAGTTTGTTCCAGATTTGTGGCACATAGAAGCTGAATGCTGCTTCTCCATGTTTTGGTTCTGGTTTGGGTCGGTATTGTATTTTGGTGTTAAGTCATTCAGTGATTTATAAACTAACAAAAGTACATAACATGCAACTTTATGCTGCTCTATTACAACAAATTCCATCAAAGCTTGTGGGTGTTGCATAAGAATATGTTGAAAAACTCAAATAGTATCAATACTTATGCAAGGCCTTGTATTTTCAGGCTTGTTTGACCATCTATATAAGAGGTACTGATAATATTTGTGTTGGTGGGACTCACGGTTGGCCAACAGGCGTGTTTTCCAGCACGTTCAGGCTGTAGGTGGAGTTGGTAAACTGTGGCGGTCGGTATCCAGCAAGGATGGAAACAGTGGCTGGTGGGCCTTTACGGCCTCGTCCGTCCACCGCCTGGACCCGCAGATGGTACTCCCTGCTGGGGGTCAGAGGTCGTCCTGTGGTCCTAATCAGCCCAGAGCGACGGTCCACTTCAAAGCACTCCTCACCACCTAAAAAAGAAAGAAAAAATGATATATATATACATGCTGAAAATACAGTAAATTTTCCCTGCTTGAATTGTCATTGTGTATTTACACAGGACTGGTGTTTGCTATTATTACTAAATTTCATATTTACTTCTGTACTTTGAACTCTGAGCTATTCTTTTTTGATCATGCTTTCAGTTTAAAGCATTTTAATGAATAACTTGCCTTTACAGTTCTCTAACTATTTAATGAATGTTGCCATTATTCAAACAATACATTCATTTGTGGATTTTTTTTTTTTTCACATAAACAATCATCTTTCAACTTGTCCACTTGTGTATAAATAAAGAGACGGAGTCCCAGCTGTCCAATTATGAAAAGCCAATTGAGGCAAATTGATGCTGGAGGCATGCTGGCTGTGTGTTTATTTATGTGTGTTCTATGAGCTAGTTAACGCTCTCTGAAGACGCAGGAAAAAAAAAAGAAGAGTGGGCTCATTTTCACTCACGTCCCTCTGGGTTTATGAGACAGAGAGCGGGAAGCAGGAGGAAGTAAGTGATGGAGAGATGAGGAATAAAGAAAGAAGAAAAGGAGGAAGAGGAAGGATGGAAAGCTGCCAGCAGAGTGGAAGTGAGAGATGTGGAGGAAGTGAGGAATAATGGAAAAGGAGATGAGAACGAAGACGAGGGGAAGAAAAGGAGAAGAATCCCCAGCTGTTGACCAGAGGGTTCTGCAGCAGCAGCTGCAGCCCAACTGTCAATCATCTCCTCCTTCTTGGATATTTTTCCTGTGACAGATTCATTTCAGTCTCTATAAAAACAATGTGTGTGCAAGAGGAGAAAAAAAATCAGCATTAAAGTTCTTCAAAGATTTGATTGTCTCAATTATAAAAATGTTTTATTTTTTAATTGTCTCTTTCTGTGTTTCCAATTAGCTGTCACTAATTACGAAAGGTTTCGAAATTAACAACCTCCAGTGGGATAAAACTATACTTAAACTGTTTGATCTCCTCCTACGGCTCTGCTCTTTCATTATTTTCAAAAGCTGCTATCCATTTTGATTAGGCTAACGTGAAACCCTCTCCAACTTGACATGAAGGTGTGTTGTAAGCTCAAATCTTTTGAGAAAACTGGAACATTGAAGGTGTTAGCAGAGTTTTGTGCTGTGGTGCAACGCAATAGAGGAACAGCAGGAGGTAGAGAGCGTCCTTTCTGTTCTTTAGATATAAAAACCCATAAGGATACAAGTTTATATTGTTTTAATTCATGTTTGATGTTTCTTTCTAGTGTTTTTAAGTAGAAGGTGGATCAGATTTTCCATTATTTCATATCTCCTTACTGTCACCAGATGAGAAAGTACTTTAACTTAACTGAATGTAAAACATGCTAAAATCTCTTTCTTGTATTTTACTAACTGCTAATTAGTTAATAAACATAGCACTGAGCAAATTTAAAGCATAAATAGATTCTCTTAAAGCCAGCAATCACTTTTGACTTTCTGCAGAAGTGAAGTAAATCTAAAAATCCTACTGGTAATAAAAGCTAGCTACCATTATGGCTAATTTTTGTGTGATGTTCTAAAAGTTATTTTGTTTTGGTGGCGAGTAGGAAAAAAAAACACGATAATAAACAGTAAATTTTTGATGTTCACATTGGGTAAAATCCTATTATTGCCACTGATTAGGTCCGTGCTACACATACACACTGGCTACACATTTTCACTTTGACATGATGCCAAACGCAGATTTTAACTGAAATTACTGGATTATTCGTCAGTGCACACGTGCTCACATTATCCCAAAGGGAAGCTTTTAATATGGGAGCATTAAAAATTAGCTCTATAAATATCATTCCTTCTTCTTCCTCCTCTTCTCTTCTTCTTCTCTCATAAAATGTAAAAATAATAATAATTAAAAATAAAAATCCACAGCCACCGGCACCCGTACGCCCACCCTTTAACTCTCCCACTCGCTACCTTCCTCTCCTGAGACTTTGCTATTATTCGCATTTCTTTGCCCCGGGGAGCGATTAAGAGTGCAGCTCTGTGCTTTTTATGCACTTTTTTTCTCCATTTCCCTCTTGACAGTAATTGAAATCCAACAAGTCAATCTTTATTTATAAATCACTCCTTTGAGCAAAACAGGTTTGTCACAGAGTGCCTGGCAGAGTAGGAGCGGACCTAATTACAGATACAGGCAGGAGATAAAAGCAAAGACACGACAGGTTTAGAGAAAAATAGACTGGGAAAACAAGGTTTGACTGTGACAGGTAAAAAAAGAAAAAAGATACAAAGCAAGATGATAGATAGATAGATAGATAGATAGATAGATAGATAGATAGATAGATAGATAGATAGATAGATAGATAGATAGATAGATGCTAATGCGCTAATAGCAGAGCTGATATTTTGCTTACCACTTTAGCATTTTTGCTAACTGTGAAAATTTGCATAATTAATTTTCCCAAGTAATTTCTAAGGCATTAATTTAGTTGGTTGTTTTGTAAACCTACAGTTGAATGGTTGAATTTAGCATTTTAGCAGGCTAACACCATTAGCATAGCATTAATTGAGCTAATGTTTATGATTAGTTCTTTGGAGTTAGTTAGCATAGCTAGTATTTTAGTTAGTGGTGCCCATTACTTGATGAACAGATGGACAGACAGATAGATAATCCATAACTAAGGTCTTTGTCCATGAGTGTAGTTGCAAATCTGGTTGGCTTCTTCCTCTATACGTGGCTTTTCAGCCGATGTTCACTGTAGATGATGACTCTCTCTTAACAGATTTAGCTAACATCTTCATAAGATATTTTTGCTTTAGTTCTGGGGGTTCATTCATACATTTCACACGTTTTGAGTTAATTTGATGATCCTGACTTAAACAGCAATGCAAAACTAATTCTGCTAACGTATCAGGAGAATGTACCGTCAAGTAGGAGGAACTGAGCTTGTCCCAGCGCGCCGTCTCGTTGTCTCGCTGACAGCCGGTAGACCACAGAGCCAGATGTGGCATCAGGACCCACGGCGCCCAGGTAAGGCGACGGAAACATCCCCCACTGCAGGTCAGCCTGACTGGGCATGCTCAGAGTCAACCTGCACAAGTACCACTCATCACCTGAATGTGGAAAGAAAGAAGAAAGAAGAAGATAATCATTTAGTATGAGAATATAACATTGTTGTCTGTAAACTTGAACAACTGAACGCTAAACTGATTTTTCTTGATTTTTTTCAATTGTTTTGTCTTCTGTCCTGATTATCCACCATAGAAGAAGTTACATCTATATATCTTTGAGTAAAGCAACTATTTTGTGTATTTTGGTTGCTGCTTCTGTGCTGCTATTGTTGTCTCAGCTTTGCAACAACGTAGCTCGTTAGCTAAACCCGCTCCACTCGCTCAGGCAGTGGTCTAAAAGGGGAGCAGCTCTCAGCCAAAGGGGACAAGGTGACATTTCTCTTCAACATCTCTCATGTTTCTCCGTGTTTCATCTCCACCCTGCTGCACGAGAAGACAAGAACCAAGGAGCAAGGGATGAAAAAGGAGAAAAAGAAGCAGCTCCTCCAAAATAAAACAAAACTTTTGAGAGTGGAAACACAGGAAGGAGCACAGCGGGTGCTCCCACCTGCCCACTAAAAACACACATGCTTGTCATGTCTACGGTTCTGCTCTCCATCTTTATTCTTATTATTTCACGTCGCCTGGTTCTGAAGGGGGATTTGTTCAGTTTGGGGGGTGCCTCGGTGCTTCGCTGTTGTTTTGACTCCTGGGTCGTTTCACAGCAGCGCGGGAGACAACAGCCTGACAAGAGAAGAAACTTCACTTCAGAGGAAGCAGAGAAGAAAGGAAGGATGAGCAGGTGACAGGAGAGGAGGAGAGGAGATGACAACCCAACACAACGGTGTCTTTTTCTGTCTTTTTATATCACCTCTGAAGGTGTGTCAACACACAGAGCAGGAGAGGGAGGGGAGAGACAAAGGGGATGATGAGGAGGTGAGGAGGAAGAGGTCCCTCGACACATCAATCCACTGAGATGGGAGTCAGAGTTAAAGAAGAAGAAATTAATGGGTAAGAAACTAGAAATGTACCAATCCGACATTAATATCTGTATTGAACCCAATTTTGAAAAAAAGTTTTGATCTGTGAATTCAATAATTTTTGCTTTGAGCAACATTTTGCTTTATTATTTATTTTGAGTTATGTTTAGAATCAGGTTTAGCTTATTGTTGCATGTTTGACCAAGATAAACCTATTATTTTTGTCAGTTTCAATTTCCTTATTATTTATTTTACATTGGCTATTATACTTATAATTACAAGTTGTGTGTGTGTGTGTTTTTTTTTTTTTAAGTTTGTCGGAGTTGTGAAGATATTGGTGTGTTTAAGTGTGCTCTACTGGTGCAAAGTTATCAAATACATTTATAATTCAGTTAATTTGGGGTTAGGATTCTTCTGTATCGTATTGGTATCAGCCAATACTGATCCTCAGATAACAATATCGAAAGTGGAAAAAGTGGATATGAAACAACATATCAAAGGAAGAAATAGATGTAAGAAAACAAAAATAAATAAGGGAGAAAAACTGAAACAGTCTTAATTAAGTAAAAACTAGATGCTGCAGTATATGTTCAGTCCCTCTGGTTCTTTAAAGTCCTTGATACCCATGAAAAACATCCTAAACTATAACAGAGTCTCCCATATGGCAACAAGAAGGCCATCTTCATCTGAAAATAGTGCTACATGCTACAGAATGTCACATTAAAGCAGACATTTAAATATTAGTTGTGGATTAAAGGGGACAAATCAACTTAAAAGCAGTGGGAGAAGAGGACAGAGTGATAATAAGGAAGAGGCACACATTCCTGTTTTCTGTATGCATCATTGCTCTTCAGTCAAAGCATAAAATCCAGAATAATCACATCCATTCCTGTTGGTTGTTTAGCATACGCAAAGCTGTGGCCCGTGTATGAAAGGGAAATGAAATCTGTCCCATTATCATGATAAATATTAACACATTCAGATGCAGCACCACAGGTCAACAGCAGACATCAGGCGAGGCGCAAACTTTAAAAAAGCAAAACATCTGGGAGCTGGCAGAGCTGGCAGAACCTCCTCCAAGCCTCCAGGCAGATCAGAGGTCACTGACACCAGAATAATGACTTGTGAAGACTTTTTCCCCCTCCGGATGGGGAACCACTGAACGTCATTACAGAATGACGCCCTTTCATATCGACAGTGAAGCATTCTGGGTTCCTGATCACTCAGAGGATGGAAGCGAATTGATTATCTGTCTTGTTGCCAGGGCTTTAAGGATGCAAAATTTATGTGTGCATGTGGTGAAATCCAGCTGTTGTTTCAAGGCCTCTGGGTTTGTTAGAGAACAAACATCATGAAAACCAAGAAACACAGCAGGCAGGTCAGAGAGAAAGTTACGGAGAAGTTTAAGGATTATCTCTAAGAGCTTTCCTAAAAATGGAAACAGGGTGAGAAAACTGCAAGTCTACAAGTCCATGGTAACTCTGGAGGAGCTGCAGTGATCCACAGTTCAGGTACAAACTGTTGACAGGAAACTACCAATCATTATTGATGAACTCAGTTGTCTCTGAAGCAAACTGTGTGGAGGAAACCCAAAAGCTTTGACCCAAGTCATACAAGTTAGGAGACAATTATCCCTGATTCTGACCAAACGTTTGTACACACCTAAATCTGAAGAAAGTAAAAAAAAATCTCTAAGAAATTCTGCTGGCATTTGGCTAAGGTTTTAGGTTAGTTATTACTAACAAGAGAAGTTTGGTCTGATTTAGCTTCACACAGTGAGACAAAATATGCATATGTCTACTTATTTGGTATATTTAATATCTGGTTTGAATTGTCAGTGTGTTTGTGTGGTCTAGCCAAAGCCAGTCCGATAACCAACTGAGGATCAGTGGCAAGGCGTGATATATATGAAAAACGTGTCTCTACTTTTTAAATCTGAATTTAAAAACAAAGATTTTGGAAACCACGTATCCTGATTTTCCACTTCAACATGTCAACCTACTATCAGTCTATCACTTAAAACCCAAAATGTTATATTAACGTTTGCAGCAAGAATAAATACAAGGACGTACAAATGAATGAAGGAAAGTGAATACTTTATTCATCTCAAAGTAAGACATTTAATCCAGTTGCTGCTCACCACATCCATCATCCAGGACAACTAAAGCAAAATATCAAAATCTTCATTTAAAAATAATTTTTGCAAGCAATTCTGCTCCAAATTAAAGTTGCAATCTAATTAAATTCAGTAATGAAAACACGTTGGCAAATATAAAACATGTTTTTCAGAAGGATAGAGCTGTAGAAGATAAATAATTTCATCTGAAAGCGTTACAAAATTACCTAAAAACAGGTTCACTTGGTTTTGTGCTCTAATTACATGTACCTATTTTGCTGTGTCTTATAGATTTGTTTTTTGTCTGTGCTGAATAGGGAGACCACCATTTAGCCTTCAGGTGTTAACAGCTATTCGTCTCATCTGAGTTTAGCTTCTCTTAAATGAAGCACTCTTTCATATCCTTGCACTTATCCCTCTCAGCACAGAAAATTTACTTCACAGCTTGAACGCTGCAGAGATCCCTGATGTGAGGCGCTGAGCTGAAGCCAGAGCTTCACGAACACACACAGGCGTGCCAAGGCTCCGGAGGAGCAGAACCCGGGTCGCGCAGCATCACTTTTCACACTGAATGGATATCTCAAGCATGGCTTAATGTGTCCAACTTTTTCCTCATTTCAGGTGTAAAATGATGCTATTTAAGTGAGTTTTTTCACTTTCTCGTTAGCCAGATTCTCCACACCAGCTGTAGGATGTTTTCTCAGACTTTCAGGACTGTCTAACACGTGAAGAAATGCCTCAGAATGAGATTCAATTTGTTCTGCTCAGCTTTTTATCCATGATTTCTTTCATCCCTCTGCTTTAACTCATATCCCCCTGAGTTTTGGAGTAAGTTCCTTTCATTGGTGAGATTACATTTTCCCTGGCACTGAACTGCAGCACAGTTTTTAGGTTAGAGGGGTGCGGGGAAACGCTTCACACAGCAGCATGTCTCTTAAAAACAATCCAGGAGGAGGTACATCAATGAAGAGTGAAGAAAAGAAAGATTTGATTGCAGATAAACAGAAAAACCCAACAACAGAAGGAGGAAAAACTCTGTAAACAAGCTAATTGTAGGTGAGAAGATGGGAAGATGTTGCATTAAAAAATCTATTTGCACTTTTACATTCCAGCATCACTGAATGTTTTCATATAAAAAGTTAGGTAAACTTTTTGCCAAAATCAAGTTGTTGCAGGTTCTGGCACAAATTAGTGGAAAAACAAAGTAAATCACCATAAAACCAAACTTAATATGCACTAATTTCTAATTCATCACAAGGGTTTAAAAATAATATTACATTTATACTACCTGAGATAAACAGTAAATGATATTGCACAGTGTCACTATTTATTTAGCAAACAAAACTGAAATGAAGAAGCAGCGTCAAAGAAATACTTGCAGCCTTTCCCTTGCAATTAAGAGAGTCAAGGGCAGGAAGGCGCAGCTAATTAACTGCAGTTAATTAACTGATCAAGCAGCTCTATACCACACAGATTGAGGCTTTGAACCACTCTGTTATTCTGGAATGCCACTGATGAACAAAATCCACAAATAAGCAATGCAAAAAGGTGATCAATGCATCTGAGAGACATAAGAGATGAGAAATTTGAGAAAAATACGGAATCACAAACGTGTCAAACCACAGGCAGTTCTGTTGCCATAAAGCACGAGACTTTTGTTTATTTTCCTTTATTTGATATATTTTTATAATTTCATTTTTACTTTTTGCCATGTTTGGAACATTTCAAATGTCCCAATAGATCGTCAGGAACGGCAGCGAGGTTAAATGATGGCGCCTGATCAGCCTGCAGTCATTGAACCAGCCTCTCATTTCCTTTCTTTACGCAGCATTAATCATTCTAGAGTTGGCTCAAAGGTCATATGTCCAACAGGGGATGTCTGGCTCAAAATGGGTCAAGCAACATGAACATTATTATCCTAATAAAAAGAAACAAAATGAGTCAAAAAGAGGCACATCGAGGTGCTG